TGGCTCATGTTTACTTGGCTGCAAAGTCAATCTCACTTTGGGGACAAAAGTATTAAAGTGAAAAATTACTTGATTGACAAACTGGTGCTGAGCAATGGATGACATGGATGCTTTCTTCTTTTGTCTGTAAATTTACTTTAAAGCAGCACAGGATAAAATCATTTCGTTACAGATGACTCTGTTCAGTTTAGATAGTACAGAGAGTTTAATGTGAAGAAAACTGAAGTCAAAATATTAGGTGATAAATGCTTTAAAATTTCTAAGGGAAATGAATGAATAGTTTGAGGTCGGTTTGCAGCTCATTTAAAAGTTGCAGAGTACCTGAAAGTAGTTCTGCTCAGATTAGCAAGTGCATATAGTGTGTCTGAGGTGCCAGTCATTGGATCATGTTGTTATAACATTTAAATGAGATAGGTGAGGCAGTTTTAACAGTAGAGCTTGAAGATCCAACAGTGTGCAGTAGAGAGCAGTAATGATAATGTGTAATACACTGTGATGTACCGATTTTAAGCTGCTGATGTTACAGCGGGGGAGCACGACAGTATAATCACCATGATCATGGAGCTTGAGATTCTCAATAAAAATCTTTGCTTGATTTTGTCTTTTTAAGTCAAATGTTGAATGTGAGTCTTCAATGATTCTTCAGTATTTATGAGTTTTATGACTCAAAGAGTGATGTGTGTCCCATTTAAAGTATTGGAGCCTGGGCCATATGAATTTGTATCATCTACACAAAAAAGGTCTGTGTACTCATGCATCAAAGATCAGAGGTTCATTTCCATCAAGAAACAAGAGTGTATGTTAATACCTGGAGTTGGTGAGCTTCCACAGAGGCCGAGTGTCTAAATCATAGCTACAAGAGAAAACATATTGAAAAAGGTCCAGTCCAGTTAATCTGTTTAATTAAATGATCTTGTATGTCTTTATGCTGCAATACATGACAAACTCGTAAGTGCTGGGGTTTGGGAGCTTACAGGGTCCACAGTGAGGCCAAAGATAAAAAAAAAAGCATTAAAACTGAATCCAGTTCTGCCTGTAGACCTTGGCCATGAGCTGACACTGAGAACTAACTAAGTCCTGCACAGATCAGCTGTGTGGGATAGTTGGACACATGTTCAACATGAGCCTGAGGAGAGTACCACAACTGTGGAAAACATCCTGTGTGGTATTGGTGCCAAAGATGCAGCACCTCAACAGCTACAGGCTACTGACATCACACCTGATGAAAACACTGGAGAGACTGGTCCTGGACCATCTCCTCTCTCTGGTGAGCTCATCTACAGACCTGCTTTAGTTTTCGTACCAGCCAGGGACCAGAGTAAATGATGGCATCATTAGCCTCTTGTACAAAGCCCTTTCTGACCTGGACAAGTTAGGTGGAGAATCATGTTCTTTGACTTCTCCAGTGCCTTCAACACCATACTGCCGGAGCTTCTAAGGGACAAGCTGGACTGTGTGCCTGACATGGTGGAACCTTCCTGGCACAGTTCCTGTTCACCCTGTACACTGCAAACTTCATGCAGAGCTCACTGAACTGTCACCTACAAATGTTCCCTGATAACTTTGTGATCATTGGCCTCATCAAAGATGGGGATGATAGGAAGGACAGGAAGCTGATCCAAGACTTTGTGGACTGGTGTCTGCAGAACTGTCTCCAGATCAATGTGGGTAAAACCAAAGAGCTGGTGGTGGGTTTCCCCTGTTGACATCCCCCTCTGACATTGGTGAACTTCCAGGGCATGGACACTGAGACTCTTATAAGTACATGGGTGTTCACCCCAACAATAAACTGGACTTGTCAAACAACACTGAGGCACTTTAGAAGACAGGCCAGAGCTGGCTCTACCTGCTGAGGAGACTTGGGTCCTTCAGAGTGCAGGGGGCACTCCTGAGGACCTTCTCTCACTCAGTGGTGGCAGCAGCCATCTTCTATGGAGCAGTCTGCTGGGGCAGCAGCATCTCGACAGCGAACAGGAAAAGACTGGACAAACTGGTCAAGAGGGCCAGCTCTGTCCTGGGAGGTCCCCTTGACCCAGTGCAGGTGGTGCAGCTCCATGATAGAGCCTTATCACTGGTCCATCCGTCCGTCCCGCTGCTGTCAGACTGTATGACCGGCACTGCTCCCAGTAGACCCCCACCCCCCAAAGAGTACCTTGCACACCCACAGACTGAATAACTGTCATGATTCTGTCCGGCCTGTGTCTGAGCTTGTGCTTTTATTTTGACAACTTCCTGTTTTAGCCATATCAGATCTCATGCAGATTTTCCAGCGTTTATGCTTGATACCTGTGATTCCTGATTTTGACCCCGGATAGCCTTGACCACCGATTACTGCCGTGCCCTCCTGGGACTGATTGTGTCCCATGTATTGACCTTCGGACTTCCCTCTCTGACCCCTCGTTTTTGGATTCCTTGGCTGTATGTGTTTGCCAGCATTGAAATTGGACTGTTGTTTGATTTGGAGTGTGTTTTTTGGGGACTATTGCAGTGTCTGCTCTTTACTGTAAGTATAAAGAGAGAACTAGCCACTCACCCTCGTCTGGCATTATAATTGAGTCCACCATTAACATTGTTGGTAGCTTTACTGGCCACCCCTGACAATAACTGTGTATACACAGAATACCAGTGTGCAATATGTCTTACTCTTTTATTATAGCTACAATTTTTTAGATTATTATTAATAATACCATGTTACTTTTCGATTCTTAATGCTGAGTGCCTAGTTCTGTCCCTTTGCTGTTGTAACGGTGTGAATCTCCTCACTGTGGGACTAATAAAAGTTTATCTTATCTTAAAGTGTGATGTGGTGAATCTGAATGATTGTGCAAGAACTACCTTGTGTGGTGGCAGGGGTGGAGTTGTCACGGTGGTCTGGTTGGTCAGCAGGTGTTGCTGCAATTACAAACACCATGAAAACTCATTAACAAAGGAACTCAAGCCACTCCATAAGTAATGCACCTTTCCTTCCTGATATACAGACCCAATTTCCAGAAAAGTCGGGACAGCCGAGGTTTCCAGTCTTTCACTGAACAACTTAATTACATTTTGAACATATGGACACAATAAGAATGTGATGCCTGCAACACACTCGGACAAAGCTGGGACAGAGGCCTGTTTACCTCTGTGTTACATCAGCTTGCCTTTTAATGGCACTTTTAATCATTTGGGAATTGATGACACTAATTGTTGCAGTTTTGGCCTATCATTGCCGGAAACAAGACTTGAGCTGCTCAACAGTCCATGGTTGCCACTGTCTGATTTTCCTGCCACTCAGCCTAACCTGTTGTTTGTTTATTAAATTGCTTTCTATAGTTATGTCCCTTCTAGTTTGTGTCTGTATCTCGGGTCCACACTGCACCCAGCCATAACAATATCTGACCACAGAATTATCTGTTCCTTTTTATGCTGATAAATTAACTTTTGATAAACTCATGACATTTAAAGTTTTTGCCTTGGTACCCATAAATTCTTTACATTGACCTCAAAATTAGCGCTTATGACTGTGGTAGCATAACTGATCATCTTGTCCCTTGGCCTTCTTTTCTTTGGCATTTACAGTTACTCTCAACAAATTCTTTAATACAAATTAAATCAACTGACATATTCAGTGCTGGCACCCTGATTGAGTTTCTGGTTAACAATCACAGTTTACCTTCAGTGGAGTCGAGCATTTCTGGACTGTGATCTTCAGGATCCTCACTATCTGACTTTTCAGAGTTGTCCTGGTTCACCTCCTCCTTTTCTGTGACCTCAGAGTTTGGCATGTCACTCCTGTCCTGTTTGTCAGACTCAGCCTCGCTGTTGGTGTCACTGTCCGCATCACTACCGTCACCATCAGGTGGACTTGTCTCACTGTCAGCTTTACTTGTAGTTTCAGTGTCCTCTTTGTCTTCAGTCTCGCTGTCATCATTCCCTTTGCTGTTGTCCTTCTCTCCCTCTGCTGGTTCTACCTCATCTGACCTATCTATTTCTTTTATTTCTCCTCCCTCCTCCTCCTCCTCCTTCTCCTCCTCCTCCTCCACTGGCTTTTCACTTTCTGTCTCCCCCCCTTCCTGTACGTCTTCCAGAGTCTTGCTGTCATCATCGGTTTGGCTATTGTCCATGTCTGCTGTGGTTACTTCGCGGTCAGCCTCAGCCTCAGAAGCACTGCCTGTGTTTGAATTTTTGATGGAGTCCATGTCACTGCTGTCATCGCTGGTCTGACCGGAGCTCTTGTCTGTGGTTATTTCATGGTCAGCCTCAGCCTCAGAAACACTGCTGCTGTCCTCCTTTGAGTTTACATCACTGTTGTCGTCAGTGTCAGTGCTGTCGTCTGTTTCTACTTTGGCTGCACTTTCCTCAGTATCTGAAGATTAAAGATATTGCACACTGTTCAGTTAGCTGTTATTATCCCTCTGGTATACATCAGCATGATGGATGTTATGGCCAACCATTCTCCAGATTGGTCTGAAGTATTGATCACACAGATCTTTGTGATGTTCCTGTGGGCGTCAGGCTGCAGGCTAACATGATGTTAAAAACAGTAACTATAGTGTATGCCTAAATGTCTGTGCAGATTCTCAGTCATCCAGGTCATAGTAAACCTGTATGCCTAAATAATAAGAATACCAGGATGTAATATGTCACTGTCACACATACTATAACAAACAGCTGGGTTTGTGCAGTAACACATCTGTTTGATCACATGGGTGTTTTCAAACCTGAACAAACAAACTGACATGTAAACAATCAACTACACTCACTCCTACGGGCAGTTTAGAGTCACCAGTCAACCTAAGCTGCATGTCTTTGGACTGTGGGAGGAAGCCGGAGTACCCGGAGAGAACCCACGCAGGCACAGGGAGAACATACAGACTCCACACAGAAAGGACCCGGGTCAGCTGGGGCTTGAACCCAGAACCTTCTTGCTCTTAGATGACAGCACTAACCACTGCACCCATGATCACCACTAAAAAGTTTGATTTCTACACAGAACATGATCACTGATGAGTTTCTGTTCTGAGTGGCTCAAACCTAGTGGTTTGTCTTTAGTTTCACTCTAAAACAACAAAATTCTGATAAAGTTTTTTTTTGAACCGCTTTGACAAGTGCCAGATGATGGAATCAGAGGATCTACCTCTGAAATGGCAATGCTTGCGAGGTGCTGCTAGTCAGCAGTGCCAAGGACCTACTGACAGTTGTCCAAGGAGGGCCAGACCATGAACAACAATTGCTCCCAGTACCCCACAGAGACCATGTCTGTCCCCCGATCACCTAAATTATATAAACCAAAAAATCTGCTCAAGAGGAGTTATTCATAAGAACCTAATTTAAATTGAGACTACTACTCTTATAGAACAAAACAACAGGATAATCAAATGTGGACTATTAAATATCAGATCTCTCTCGTCCAAATCTCTGTTAGTGAATGATTTGATAAGTGAACATCACATTGATTTGTGTCTGACTGAAACCTTCTTACAGCAGGAAGAACATGTCAGTCTAAATGAATCCATCCCACCTAGTCACAGTAATTGTCACATCCCTTGAAGCACAGGCTATTCGTATTCATAACTTACATAAATACAAAGGAGGGCCTTTTATTCCACTGTAGGTTGCGTTGCTGTCTTTAGTGGAACAACTATGTTTTCTGCCAGATATCTGTTAATGACTTTACATTCAGACCAGTAAATATTCTACTTAGAAATGTTGAAACAGAACAAGTTAATTGCATTCTTGTTAATACTGCAGCATTCAATCAAATGTAAATATTCCACAAGTCTTTGTTTCAAACACGTTATATTTGAGCTCAGCCTAGGAGATTTAGTATCTTTAAAACTCAAAACAGCAAACACTGACCTGCTTCATTTGTCTCATCTGAGTCTGAAGGAGCTGAAAGAGAAAACAGAAAAAGGGGTTTTAGGGAATTTAATCTGCTGCTTCTTTCTGGTTTGGTTTCCTCTCAGCCTGAATCAGATGTTTGTTTTACTAATTCCGAGGAAAAATGTCTTCAGCCCCTTTTAGATGCCCCATTAACCTGGCAGCATCTGAACATGTCGGCTTCATGTCTGAATGAGCACCCTGGTTGCTTTTCTGTAAAAGCCACAATAGCAATCCTAGTAGGTCGAACCAAGTAACATTTACATAGGCTATCACTTTCAACTCAGTGCAAGTCTGAGGTGCATGCAGTCACAGTAATAAATGGGCATGCACAGGATTACAGCATATGGGCATTATGTACAGTGGGTCTACTAATCACCACAGTTTAGGGCTGAATCTTCAAGTCCTCCTAAGGTCTTAAGCCCTCAGGCTCTATTTTCCTTTATCAGGTCTAAACTCCAGGTGCAAGGCACATGTGAACATGTTGAACAATGTTTTGCACGTTTGGTGACCACAGACACAGCACACTTCTGTGCATAGCCAGGCGTTGGAGAGCACACTGTGGAGGAGAGGTGGAATACATTATTACAGGGAGGAAAACATTGTGATCAGGAGGGGCTGGCTTTAGTTATGCCCAATCAAACCAGCTGCTCTCATTCCCCTTAAAGAGCAAGGTGGAAAGCTGACTGATGTCATGACATGGAAATGTATTCTTTCCCTGTGTCGTCTTCTCCTGCCAGTTATGTATTCCATTCCTAAACTGTGATGACAAAACTATTTATGTAGAAGTACTACAATATTCACTCAGCAGTCTGCTAATATCACTGACCAGGATCACGTCTGTTCAGACCTTCTCTCATTGCATTTGCAACTTTCCTTTTGTTTATAGTCATGGGACACATTTAAGTGACTCAATCATTTTTCTAATAGGAGAGCAATTATCATCAGTGTCCTCATATTAGTCTGAGCTACAGTGATGGAGCCTGCAAAAACACTGACACAGGAATTCAGTCGGGAATCAGATAATCTGTACATGTAAAGCCCAGTGTTGATCATCGCAGAGGCTGTGGACTCCCTCAGCCTGTTAGAAACTAGACCCATGAAGGCCTGAAACAGCACAACCATATGACAGCTCTGTAGAAATATCTGTTTATTATTGATCAGTGTAGACTGTCCCTGTCAGGATCTAGTAGGAATGATTCCTCAGCTTTTCCAGTCATCTGATTGGTCAGTGCTTGGGCTTTTGAGAGGTTCTGATCCAATCCCCTGAAGCTAACTGCTCCGGAGCGGGTGATCTGGCCCGATTAAACATGAGCCAGCTTTGTGATACTGGAAAACCTGAGCTGAGTCCAAAGTTAGATGAATAAGCCACTGATTTGCCTTCATGGCACAGGCCCCAGGAAGACACCATAGATGTATTAAAGAGAATGGTTCACACTCATATCCACCATGTTGTGGTAAGAAAATTCTGCCCTCACGTCACTGTCTGATTTAATGCGAATAGCAAATATCGTGCCATACCGTGGCTCTTGTCATCACTGTTGTAGGTATGTCTGAATGAAGCTGTGAGGAACTTTAACTTAAAAATAACCCGTGTGTGAATGACAAAGTCATCAATGTTACGTATCCCATGTCTGAAAAGAGTGAAACTAAAGACATGTTTGTCATGTCACATGCATTATGCATAGTAGCAGTATTGATAGCAGTAGAATTTAAAGTAAACTCTGTAGTAGTTTAACAGTAGCAGTTAGAATAGTAGCAGCAGTTGCAGACTGTGCAATCAGTAGTAGTACCAATAATAGTATTAGTAGTAGTTGCTGTAGTACTACTATCTGGAGTGACGATAGGCGGGAATCGGTATCAGCAGCAACATATAGAGTAGTACAATCAGTAAAAGTGGGCACATAGGAAGTAACTGTATAAGGGTCTGTACACCAACTATTGTGGTATCGCACCATTTAATGCCCTATTATCCCTTCTTATAGGATGATACTGCAGTTACTAACTATAATAACTGAGTTTTACTGCAGTTATTCTTACACACTGACGATAAAATATGGCAACAGGACACAGAGCAAGACGAGGTAAAAGCCCAGGCTGCTAATCTGACAGACGCCCTCCTGTCAGGAATCCACATCTTGTGAGTTAAAGAAACACCTCAGCTCTGCGATCATCATGTTTTTTAATTGCTGCAGTTGTACCAAATGCAAATATTCTAAAGGTGTCTCTGACATGTTAGATTTAAATTCAGCACAGCAGATTTGGTACCTTCAAAAATATGAAATGGAAAAACATGTTTCCTTGTTTGTTTTTAAGGAATTTCACCTCCTTTGTCTCTCTGGTTAGGTTCCTCTCAGTTTGACCATTTATTTCGAATGAAAAAGTCCTGTCATTGTCAGCAGTTATAACAGAAGTAGATGTAGCTACAGTGGAAGTAGCTGAAGTCACAAGAATACAACTGCATTAGTAATACTGTATGCAGTAACAGTTACAGCTGCTTCACTAAAAGCTTTTTGTGAATAACGTGAACTATTTTTTTACATAAATGTCACAATAAGTACAAACAAAACATATATTAGAAAAAGGGTTAGGGAAGAAAAAACATCTGTATACACATGTTCACAAGCATGTACTACACATGTATATACAGGGTCACGGTTTGGGGCATGGGAATGTCACAGACTTATTATTAAAAATCAGTAATGATATTCTGTTGGCTAGGGATGCCGGGGATTCGGTTTTATTGGTGCTTTTAGATCTCACTGCTGCCTTTGATACAGTGGATCATGAAATCCTTCTTTCTCGTTTGGAGCAGTGTGTAGGAATTCAAGGTACTATTCTTAACTGGTTTCAATCTTATCTCACCAATAGAACTTTTACTGTTAATATTGGTACCTGTTCATCCTCTTCAACAATCCTTTACTGTGGTGTCCCCCAGGGATATGTGCTTGGTCCCACTTTGTTTTCACTGTACATGCTTCCATTAGGATCTTTCTTAAGGAAATATGGCCTTTCTTTTTACGGTTATGCAGATGACATTCAGATATACTTACCACTGAAGGCAACGAGAGGGATGTCATTACAGCCATTGTTTGACTGTCTGACAGACTTGAAATCATGGCTGGCACTTAACTTTTTAAATCTTAATGAAAATAAAACTGAGTGTGTGCTTTTTGGAGACTTGGCAAACTTAACTTCTTCTGACCAGGGTCTGGGCCCCTTGGCTCGTCATCTGAAGTCGACTGTAAAAAACCTAGGGGTGATGTTTGATGGCAAGTTAAGGTTTGACAAGCAAATCAGCTCAGTTGTGAAATCTAGCTTCTTCCACCTGAGGCTGTTAAGCAAGGTCAAGTCATTCCTTTCTTTTAATGATTTTGAGATTGCAATCCATGCCTTTATCACCTCCCGCCTTGACTATTGCAATGCTCTATACTATGGTGTTAACCAGTCCTCCCTCTCTTGTCTTCAGATGATTCAAAATGCTGCTGCTCGTGTTCTGACAAGTACCAGAAAATTTTAACATATAACCCCGGTTCTGGCTTCTCTCCACTGGCTTCCAGTCCATTTTAGAATTGATTTTAAACTGTTAATTTTTGTTTTTAAGGCTCTTAATGGTTTGGCACCATCTTACCTCACTGAATTAGTGCATTGGCACAAACCCACAAGGTCTCTCAGATCTTCAAGCCAGTTTCTTTTAGAGGTTCCTATGGCCAGATATAAATGCTGGGGTGATCGGAATTAAATGTATTGAATGTGTGTCATCTGTGTGTTTGAGTTATTGTTTTATTTTTGCACTGAATCTATTTTATTTATTTATCATGATTTTATTCTGTCTATGTAAAGTACTTTGGTCAACTGGATGTTGTTTTTAAAGTGCTATATAAATAAATTTGATTTGATTTGATTTATGTATTACATGACGTATATAACAATGTTCAGTACATGAGGACCAACAGGATGGATGATTTGTGTGTCACTGTCACCACACTGTTTGTACCTACAGAGCCAACACATCATGCAGTACTGCAGCATCAGTGCTGCACTGATTACTGCAGTTTTCTCTCACGACTTCTAGCTCAAATAACTGAAAGTGAGAACATCTGTGCTTTGTATTGATCCTGAATAAAAACCTCAGAAAATCTTTTATCAACACAATGAAACTCAGGCAGCTGAACAGATAGAAAAGCAAACAAGCAGGTGAACAGACAACTGGAAACAGCTAAACAGTTAGACAAGTAAACAGACAGTTAAACAGACAAGTATACAGTGGAGCAGAGACAGATAGGTTACCTTCAGTTTGTTCTACAGAGTTGTTGCTGTCAGCATCACCTGGGAAAACAAGAATGTTATATGTCAGATGTGCAGTAGTTGTAGTAGAAGTAGCAGTAGAAGTAGTAATAACAATAAGAATAGTTGTCTGTATTAGCAATAATTGAAACAGTGAGAATCCTTAGTCTCTCTGAGTTTGGTGATTTTGAGGTTTAGGGCCAAGAGGCCCCCAACTCCTCAGGTGTGTGCTTAGTTACCAGATCAGTAATCCACCTGTGTCTGGATATACAAAGACTGAAAGTTTATTCTCACCATCGGCTTTACCCGTTTCCTCTGTTGTGGAATCTTTTCCATCACTGTCATCTGAAGCAGCTGACAAAACAGACATTTCATATGAAATTAAAATCAACTATGGAAACAGAATAACAACAGAACAAAGTGATTGTGTGGATCATCATGTTAGTTTATTTAAGAACAAACCCCAACCTGGTGATTCAGTTGTTTCATCTGATTCTGAGGGGGCTGTAACACAGACAGATAGGTGGACAGTGAGACAGGTCAGCAGCCAGGTAAACACACAGGTGAGCAGACGGACAGGTTACCTTTAGTGTGTTCAGTGCTGTCGGCATCGTCTGTAGAGACAAATAAACACATAAAATGACGTGTAGTTTCTACACACTGTGTGTGTGTAATTGGAATAGGGTGTGTGTAGCATTGTTACCTGGTAGTGCAGTCGCAGGTTCACCTGTAGCGCCTTCTACAACAATAACAAAATGAACACCTGAGCTGTGTGTGTGTGTTGGGGTGCTATTACACACATGGTGGGCACCAGGTGGTAGTCCACTGTATAAATTGTTACAGTGAAAACCTGGTTTAAGGTTAGGTCTGAGAAAAAAGCAGCTTGGTCACGTTTAGGAACAAGAGCTCCTGAAAAACAAGCCACACACTGGCAGTGAGCCTGGTTCTCCTGAGCAAAGGTCCTGTGCTTTGTGTACCTAACTATCCACCCCAACCCCTCTTTATGCCACTATGCAATACGTCACATCACTAATTTCTTTCCCTGTTATAATTAATTCAGTCACTAGACGTCACCAGACTGTAACACAACAGTTCATTGTAATAACCTGTTGGCACAAAGATTCAAGAGATACAGGATATTTATTTGTCATTTATGCATAAACAGACAATGTAGGCATATTGGAATTCTTGCACAGCCCTCCTTTGGAGTCAGGTAAGGAGTCAAAAGCCAGTAAGAACAAGAAAGTATTAAAACACAATACAGAAAAATAGGGTAGTAGTATTTCCCACAGTGAACTTCAAACATCACACTTAGTGATTCACATGGTGGAGTTGGATATGGCATTACACTTGGTGAGGTAGTGAGGGGTTATTGCACATGTCTAGTAAGGGGTTATTGTACATATATTCTCACATTTTCGTATTTGCCATCAGTCTTACTGCAGCAGGGGAAAAGCTGTTGTAAAATCTTGTTCTGTGTGTGTACGGTCCTGTTTTACAGGAGAACAGTCTCCCTGATTCCTGGGGGACCAGCCTCCTCCTAACATCCCTGATCCAAACTTGGGTTTCATATTCTTGAACAAATACTGGGCTCTCATGTCCCTGGACAAACAAGTGGTCAGTTATGCTTTAATAACAGCCATTTAGGCTTCAAAAAATGAATTAGCGGCTTTTCCCCCCTTGTTTTAGCCTTTTGGAGGAATTTGTCCATCAGGGGCCTGGGCTGATCTGCATCCCCATTTGGGCCTTTTGAATTCTTATACTAGTTTAATTTTGTTGTTTTCGGTGTGAACCTTCTTTTGCTTCTATTAAATTCTGTTTTTGTTTTGGCTTCTATCATTTCTATTTGTTTTTACATGCGGCCTTTAAGTTTTATTTTCCATGTTGATATTATTTTAGTTTGTGATTTTATCATTATTTTTGCCTTTGTTGTATATGATTAAGCCCTGAGGCATTGGGTAGAGTCAGGCTCAGTGTAAAGTCTCTATGAGGGATGATGTGTTACTATTCAGGTGGGCCAGCAGTGCTGCACTTCTCTCTGAAACAAAGACACAGTGCATGTGATACCCATACATTTACACAAGGTACACATAATTTAAACATGGTATACACAGTACACATACATTTAGGTTGTTTCCTGCATGAGTTAACTATGCATCGCTCAGCTAGTTATGCCTAGTGGCTCATTCTCCTTGCACACAGTCAATACAAACAAGTGAAAGAGAGACTAGTGAGCTGGTGTCTTCACTCGTCTTCCCTTGTTATTTATCTTATTTGAGGTAAATATACTCCACAGAGCACTGTAAAGTTGTATACATGTTTGTAAAAGTTATTACTATGCTGTCAGTGTTGAGTTGTCAAGAAAGATAATTTTTACATTGTTTTACAACAGAGTTAAAGCTAACAAGGTTTAAGTTAATGGAGGCTTAGCAACTCTGCTATAGGGTCCTACTTATGTTTAATGCATAGTTGTAAAGCTTGTGATGTTGAGCAGGTATTCGGTATTTTACTAGCAAAGTACAGAAACTGGCTGAGGTGCACTCAGCCTCAGGCTAAGTACAGGTACAGTATATTAGGTGGGCATATATCACAGTGTAAAAGTACTTTGTTACAAGTAAAAGTCCTCCATTGAAAATGATACTTAAGTACAAAAGGATTGGCATCATAATATACTTAGAGTACCAAAAGTAAAAAACACTCACTCTGCATAATGTCGTGTAAATGTACAAAATATTATTGGATGATAGTGAGTTACGTACATCACATTTAATGTTGCAGCTGGAGATAATTTAACTAGCCTACTTCATATATATTTAGAATTTGAGTTACTTCTGGGTAGCTTATAGGTTTTCCATTAGAGAGCAGTAAAGTCCTATGATTATACTGTATTTATTTTTATTCATCTAATTCTGAAAATTAACTAGTTAACAATATTTGCATCTAAAATGTGGAAGCAGAAAATGAAAACACTGAAGTACCTCAAAATCGTACTTACATGCAATTATTTGTTTCCAGCTCTGCTCTTCAGCGCTATCTGGGATTTTTTACAATGCAGGGTTTTAATTTTGGGAACGTACATTATTTGACAGTAATATCAAATGGTAATCTGATTAAACAATGGCCTTAGTGACTGACAACATCCGGCATGTGCGCGTGGGGTAGGGTTCAGTTTGAGGGTGCCCACCTCAAAAAGGATAAAAATTACTGAGAGATGATTGTGGCTGTAATGACCCCGGCAGCCTCCAGAGGATGCTGTTGGTCTAGTCTGATGTAATCAGTCTGCTGCACTATGATTGGCTGTTTGGGTCCAGCTGGTTTGTGACGACAATGGTGGATGGTGGAGACGACAAAAAAAGTTCAAACCCTGGGAGCTAGTGGCAGCAACAGAGTTTCCAACTCACGTTTCTGTTCTAGTTCTGGCTTGGTGTTAATTCTCATCAACGCTGTGTTTCATAGCCCAGTCTGATAGATCACGGCGGATGGACCTTCATGGTCCAACAGTCCTGAATCTGGGTTAGGGTTAAATCCTAGATCCAGCCTGCCTGTGTCTGTGCGCACTTCATGGACGTTGTTAGGATGAAAAACGCGTTTCAGTGTGTTTTTGACTAGGTCTTTGATAACGTCCATACCGAAACCTTGGCAAAATCAACTTATAAACATTTCTATTATTTAAAATTTGTGAGCAGTGTTGTTTTAGTTAGCAATTCAAACTAATCATTTATGCTCACTGGTACATAATTAAATTAATATACAATGACATCCTAAAATTACAACTCTTTAATTTTTACAGGGTGAATCATAAGTTTACCTGAACAAATTTTAGGTTTATTGATAAAGTTATTAATCTATATTCTTACTGCTATAATTAATGGTATAAATTGATCTGTTTATTAAAATGAAAGATAAAGATTAATACTATATCATTCAATTGATTTGCTAATATAATTACCTAAAATAACTTAATAATATCAAAGTTATAGTAACTTAAACAAGTAGTCAACAGTTCGATAGGTGAAAGGTATAAATACAAAATTTTAAAAAAGTAATTGTAATTTTTTAAAAGCAATGACATGAATAAAATGATTAATAATGAAAATCCTTTACTATACTGTTCCATTACTCTTAATTTTGTTGTTGGTGTTTTAAATACTAAATGGGCAGTTTATGCAATTTATTGATTCTTCTTCAGGTGATGAACAGTAATCATTTATAATAATAGCCAGTAATACCGAACTGATAAAAGAAGCATCATCCTACCAAATTCAGTGGCAACGGGTCATTTTAATAATTTGGCTGAAAGTTGAATTCCAAAAATCGTCCAGTTTGTCAAAACACCAACAGTCTTAACAGTGTGAACTGATTTATTATGTAGATAATGAATAAAATTTCTTTACACATGATCTGATTTTAACATGCACAAGTATATGAAACTAGTGCTCAGCTGTTATAAATTAATAACTATTTGTTTTGGATCGATAATGAGTCTTTTCCAATAAATGATAATATAATTTCTAATTAATGTTTAATAATTACTGATGACATGTTAAAGTTAATACTGGACAGTGTTAAAGTCAACAATATTGATTGCTAGTGATAATATGATTATTGATCAGTGATGATGTCATGGGTTACCTGGGACCGGAGTTGCCAGAGAAACAGCAGTTAGAGCAACGAGCACCAACACAACACACCTGTAACACACACATGAACCTTTCAGTGCAAAGTGACAGATTGACTTGACTGCAACATGTTTGCATGTTGATGTTGTACAGAAGACAAAATGTTTCCACTGTTGGTCTGTAATATCATTTTCAGAAATATCTCTAACGTTTTCTGACAGCACATAGCACAGCAGGTGTACACATCACACACAGTTGAGCATTCAATCAAAAAACAAAAACAATTATCGGACCATCATCACATAAAGAGACAACAAAGAGTGAGCGAGTCTGCAGCAGAGATTTATAATTTTCTCTCTCCAACAACAAGTGCAAAGTGACCAAGTAAAGCTAAAGAGTATAAAACGTGAAACAAAGAATGTGGTGGGGGAAACTAGATTTCAGCCTGAAGGATTAAATGACTGTCTTTTGTGTTTGCTTCAGAAAAAAACAAAGCATCTCTTCTTTTCCAATGTATAGAGAGAAAGCACTGCAAGATAAAACCAGCTCAGAAAGGGTTAAAGGTTAATAATGAGAGTTGAGTGTCAGCTGAAAACCAGAGACGATTGCTTTATCTTGAAACACCGGAGTCCTTCTGCAGAATTTATTCAGAGCAACACAAGCTGACAAATAAAACCTGAACCCTGATGTCACAGTGGAATACGAGTCGTGAACCTCACTGAAAGGAAACATATCGGCATCAGAGTGCAGAGTCAGAATGAAAGGTTCTGTTCAGTTGTTAAGAAAATGCAGTTTAAGGTATGTTTATGTTTAAGGTAACTTGTAGCTTTCCTTCATAGTGAGTCAGTGAAACTTGTTGAAGATAAAACCAGATTTTTCCATCAGATAAATGTCCTGGTGAAGAAAACAGAACTACTTCCTTTGGAAATGTTAAGTTAAAATCAGAAGTGCCAAAATGGAAATGGTCGAGTAAAGTATCAGGAGAAGCATCAGTTCATCAGCTGTCATTGATTCAATAAAAAATGTTTGTCACATGTAGTAATTAGTAATAATGTCAGAGTGAGCAGGTTTGACAAGGATCATATCAAGGCTTTCATAAAATGTCTGAGGTACGTGAATTATTTAAAGTTCATCAGAAGTACAGGATGGACTCACCGTTGGAGCATGTTGTTGTTCAGCTGGTCGACAGGAAACAAAGTTTAATGTTATAAAGCTTCAGTGTCTGTTGAGTGTCTGAACTCAGCTGAAAGAAAGCAGCAGCTTTTTATACTCCGGCTGCCTTTTCTTCATTTCTCCACCTCCTCCCCCTCTGATCACTGCCTGTCTACATGCAGTTTAACACTGTGTGACCTGGCTTCAACACCGTGATTCAGTCAGATCTGGTTTAACTAGAGTAAAACTTTGATTCTGGGTTTAGGCCAGTTTTATGGCAAATTTAGTGTTTAGACCAGAGTCAGAGTCATCTGACCAGTCAGACTCTACTGATACAACCTATAGGAGCCTCTCCTGAGGTGTAATAGCTACAACTCCAGCAACACTTAGGACAACATACAGGTGCTAGTTTATCAGACCTCCATTTTAATGGAAATCATTAAAAAGACACAGTGACAATTATGCAATCTTCACAGTTTATGTTTAGGAACAAAAACAGCTTGGTTAGGGCCGGAAAAAAGTTGATGCTTTGGTTAAAATGTCTTTCCTCATCACAATTACAGGATTCCCTGAGAAATATGTCAGGGTTGGCCAGTAAAGCTACCAACAATATTAATGGCAGACTCAATTATGATGATAGACGAGAGTGAGTGGCTAGTTCTCTCTTTATAACTCACAGTTAAGAGCAGGCACTGCAGTAGTCCCAAAAACACACTCCAAATCAAACAACAGTCGAGAAGTTGAGTTCCTTTGTTAATGAGTTTTCATGTTGTTTGTAATTGCAGCGACACCTGCTGACCAACCAGACCACTGTGACAACTCCACCCCTGCCACCACACAAGGTAGTTCTCCCACTATCGTTCAACTTCACCACATCACACTATAAGATAAGATAAACTTTTATTAGTCCCACAGTGAGGAGATTCGCACCGTTACAGCAGCAAAGGGACAGAACTAGGCACTCAGCATTAAGAATTGAAAAGTAACAAGGTATTATTAATAATAATCTAAAAAATTGTAGCTATAATAAAAGAGTAAGACATATTGCACACTGGTATTCTGTGTATACACAGTTATTGTCAGGGGTGGCCAGTAAAGCTACCAACAATGTTAATGGTGGACTCAATTATAATGCCAGACGAGGGTGAGTGGCTAGTTCTCTCTTTATACTTACAGTAAAGAGCAGACACTGCAATAGTCCCAAAAAACACACTCCAAATCAAATAACAGTCCAATTTCAATGCTGGCAAATACATACAGCCAAGGAATCCAAAAATGAGGGGTCAGAGAGGGAAGTCCGAATGTTGATACATGGGACACAATTAGTCCCAGGAGGGCACGGCAGTAATCGGTGGTCAAGGCTATCCGGGGTCAAAATCAGATTTTTGCTGTGAGGCACTAATCGCTGGTCCACCGTGCCACCCTTCCCCAAGAACAAACAAATGCTCATTCTACATAGTTAACAGCGCCGTCTGATGAGCTGTGTTTATGAAAATGAGTTGAATCCATGAGGGCGTGTAGACAGGAGACCAGTGGCTCCTCTACAGCTGAGCAGGTGTGAGTCCAGCGGAAAGGACAGGACAAAGCCTCAGACAGCAGACCGGTGTGAAGCCTGAGCTGCAGCTCATTACATTAAAGATTTAAACTGCCAACTGTGATATTATGCGCTCCTGGACGTATCCTGAATTAGAATCTGGTGAGTAGATACTGGAAGGCGACTTAGACATGGAGGGGCTGATTACTCTGATGAGATAGAGGTGAGTGTAGTGGAACTGGTCAGAGCAGGTAAAGAGAGCAAAAGAAAGGGAACAACCACAAAAGTGCAAGTGCACAAAAATAAAAGCTTGTTACTGGAACTGCAGTGAATCGTGATAGCAAAACAGACTGGACAGGTTTCAAACTGAAGACAGACACATTTTAAACCAGGAAAAGCAGAAAGTGCAGTGGCAAGAAAAAGTCAGTAAACCAGTTGGAATTACCTGGTTTTCTATTTTCTACACAACTGGGCCTTAAAACGTTGTCTGTAAATGTAGAGCTGCAGCCACTTTGGAGGACTTTTCTGTCAGCGTACAGGATTATACTGAGTATGTGACTGGGTATATAAGTACCTGTATTGACAAGATACAAGTCAGGAGGTTCTCCAACTAGAAACCCTGGATAAACAGTCAGATACGCTGCATGCTGCATGCTGCATGCTCGTTCTCATGCATTTAGATCAGGCAATGAGACGGAGTACAAAGCTGCAAAGTATGGACTGAGGAAAGCCAACACAGCGACAGAGAGGCAGTACAGAGAGAAGCAGAGTGGCTTCTATTCTACTGCTGACTCTGGACGGATGTGGCAAGGCCTGCAGCACATCACAGACTACAGGACCACAGACAGCCTGCCAGGTGACCTCAACACCTTCTACACATGTTTTGAGATCTCCAGCCACAGCACAGGGAGGAAGCACATACACCTGGACCACCCAACCCCCCTCCCCTCCATTAACTGTCTCACCAGGCCAGGTACGCAAAGTCCTGAGGAAAATCAATCCCCGCATGGCAGCAGGACCCGACAACATCCCTGGGAGGGCGCTCAGGGCATGAGGACCTCACCTGGACACATAACACCACACAGCTGTTCAAGAAGGCCCAACAGCGACTGTACTTTCTGAGGAGGCTGAGGAGGTTTGGCATGTCACCTAGGATCCTCAGCAACTTCTACAGCTGCATCATCAAAAGCATCTTGACAAGCTGCATCACTGTCTGGTATGGCAGCACTACTGCTATGGACCGCAAGCGCCTGCAGAGAGTGATAAAATCACCAGGACTCCATTGCCCTCTATGCAGAGCACTTACCACTGCAGAGTCCGCAGGAAAGCTGCCTCCATCCTCAAGGACCCCTCCCACCCCCAGCATGGACTGTTCACACCCCTACCCTCCAGCCGGAGGTTCAGAAGTGTGAAATTCAGGACATCTAGACTGAAAAACTGTCTTTCCGACTGCCATCTCACTCCTAAACCTCTGACAGGAGTTTATTACCAGCAACAACTACATGTAATTCCACCTGTAGTGCTTACATGCTCACTTGCACATGCATAATTGCACATTGACAATCAATCCCCGCATGGCAGCAGGACCCGACAACATCCCTGGGAGGGCGCTCAGGGCATGAGGACCTCACCTGGACACATAACACCACACAGCTGTTCAAGAAGGCCCAACAGCGACTGTACTTTCTGAGGAGGCTGAGGAGGTTTGGCATGTCACCTAGGATCCTCAGCAACTTCTACAGCTGCATCATCAAAAGCATCTTGACAAGCTGCATCACTGTCTGGTATGGCAGCACTACTGCTATGGACCGCAAGCGCCTGCAGAGAGTGATAAAATCACCAGGACTCCATTGCCCTCTATGCAGAGCACTTACCACTGCAGAGTCCGCAGGAAAGCTGCCTCCATCCTCAAGGACCCCTCCCACCCCCAGCATGGACTGTTCACACCCCTACCCTCCAGCCGGAGGTTCAGAAGTGTGAAATTCAGGACATCTAGACTGAAAAACTGTCTTTCCGACTGCCATCTCACTCCTAAACCTCTGACAGGAGTTTATTACCAGCAACAACTACATGTAATTCCACCTGTAGTGCTTACATGCTCACTTGCACATGCATAATTGCACATTGACTGCTGACTATTGCACATACAGCTCCAATGTAGCATACACACTCTCTTACTGTGTTCTTATTATATTTTTATTATTTCATTTTACTTGCTGTTTAAAGTGCCTTTAGACTTTGTGCTCTTATTTATCTACTTTATATTTCACTTGTATTGTGTGGCATTCATGTGGACGGCAAAGTAAGAATTTCATTGTACAGGGAAACAATAAACACTTTGACCATGCAGAGCACTTACCACTGCAGAGTCCGCAGGAAAGCTGCCTCCATCCTCAAGGACCCCTCCCACCCCCAGCATGGACTGTTCACACCCCTACCCTCCAGCCGGAGGTTCAGAAGTGTGAAATTCAGGACATCTAGACTGAAAAACTGTCTTTCCGACTGCCATCTCACTCCTAAACCTCTGACAGGAGTTTATTACCAGCAACAACTACATGTAATTCCACCTGTAGTGCTTACATGCTCACTTGCACATGCATAATTGCACATTGACTGCTGACTATTGCACATACAGCTCCAATGTAGCATACACACTCTCTTACTGTGTTCTTATTATATTTTTATTATTTCATTTTACTTGCTGTTTAAAGTGCCTTTAGACTTTGTGCTCTTATTTATCTACTTTATATTTCACTTGTATTGTGTGGCATTCATGTGGACGGCAAAGTAAGAATTTCATTGTACAGGGAAACAATAAACACTTTGACCTTGACCTTGATCTTCATCTAAGTCACAAATATTGACAAACACAATGTCCTGAAGCTAATACCACACAAACAATCATAATTTTTCATGTTTTAATTTTATTGAACACATCCATTAAATATTCAAAGTACTGGTGGAAAAAGTAAGTGAACGCCTCGATCTAATAACTAGTTGAAACTGCTTTGGCAGCTCACAGTAATAAAGAAAAGGCTGTTATGAGTGAGAGGAACCAGGAGAGGTGGGTGTAGGGCAATAGTAAAGAAACAAGCAAACAAAAAACACAATAAGAATACAAATGTAGTTCAGGTACCTGAACACAGGGGTTGCTGCTGCAGCTATTTGAGGGCCAGACGGGTCCAACATTCATGGTGCTTTGGGTCCTTGGTGCCCACACACTGCAGTGGACACACTAATTAATAATCAGTATTTTCTAAGCTACTGTCTTAGGTAGTTGCTAAGCTATAGCAGCAAATGAAATTGGGAAAGTTACAAAATGCTCCGGATTGAGCCTCGCCTGTCCTCTGTCCTCAGCTGCCACAGGTCTTTCACAGACCTCATCAAGGAAAGTAAACGTATGCCCTAATGAGGATGTCATGCATTTTTTAAAATAGTTTTTAAAGTTACATGTATATGTGGAATACAAAATGACATGCAGAAGCAAATAAGTTTTATATTTCGGGGTTTTGTACATAAATGTAAACATAAATACACAAAGTTTAGAT